ATCTTGCAGCATATGTGTCCTGCAGCTCACCTGAGGAACAGCTGTTCGTCTGGAGAAAGACTTAGATCTGCCCCACCCATAGAACACAGTGTCCACAACCACCACCCCATTCAACAGGTGTCTCCTCACCAGGACAGCCCATTCAAACAAGAAAAAATCTGTCTTGGACCACTTTTGGAGTTGCATCCTGTTTCATTAGCAGTGCAGGGTCTATACTATGAAAGCCCCAATTTCTGCCCCAGAATAAAAAACAAACAAAAGTAATTGCGACGACTTAGCTGACAATTATGACTTTATTTCTCATAATTCGAAGTTTATATCTTACAGTTTTGAGTTAACATCTCACAATTCTGACATTCTCAGAATTGTGAGTTATAACAATTTGCATTTTGAATCACAAAATGCATTTTGTGAACGTAATATGATTTTGTGCACTAATAATATGAAATTGAATGTACCAAAACACTTATTGAAGGAAATATGCATGTTGTAACATAGACAGATCCTTTTGTCCACGAAAGAGATAAAAACTCAAGAATCCCCCCCCCAAAAAAAGTCAGAATTGTAGATGTAGACTCGCATTTCTGGCAAAAGATAGAACTGTGAGAAAATTCTCAGAAAAAAACAATTAGAACTACAATATAAAACTCAAAAATGCAAGGTATTGCAAGAAATAACAAGAATTGTGAGTCATAAACTCGCAATTCTGAGAAAGAATAAATTCCAACATGTTAACTCAAAATTATGAGATATGGGAATTGTGAAAATAAAAATAAAAAGTTGCAATGACCTTTTTTATCTTTTTATTTTGTGACAGAGACAGGCTTCCATACTAAACTGTGTGCGCAGCAGAATCATTCATACTTACACTGTATATGAACACTATGCACAGCACAAATAGGCCTCTGTTTTTTAAAAGGCCCCCCTTTTGCTCTCGAAACTCAAAAATCACCTATCTAAATGAGCTTATTTATAGCTCAGGCTTCTACAGTATAGCTATGTGCCTGGCCAGCTCAGTGTCCAACCTCTCAGCAGTCAGGCAGTCATAACTATTGGAAAGACTGACCTATATTAATAGGCTCCTTTGGCAGTGGAGCACCACGCCTGGGTTTCCCGCCTGAACTGTGGGTGCCTGCCAGATGACTGGGTCTGTCACTGCTGCCATAGCCTACCATCTGCTGTCTACTGCACACAATGGCAGGCAATATGCACACAGACCCAAGGGAGGGGCTTCACGGGATAGCTCTGTACCACATGCTGCACTGGGACACCTCTAAACACACACACACACACACATACATGCAAAGTGTGCATGGTGATATTCCCACTCATGAGATTATATATGGAAGATCATTATTGCAGTTAAATAAAAAATAATATTAGGAAAAAGAGTGACCAATATTCATTAAGGGTGGTTTTGTCAGTTTTTCAGAAAATACTTTGTCATATCAGTCAGTCAGATACTATTTATGTTTGATGGACCTAGTTTGCCCAAATGTTTGCATCATTTACTCACCCTCATGTGGTTCCAAACCTGTATAACTTTCTTTCCTCTGTGGAACATAAAAGATATTTTAAGAAATGTCTATGTTCTTTTGTCCATACAATGCATAACCAAATCGGTTTGGTTACCAACATTTTTCAGAAGAAAGTCAACAGTTTTGGAACAACATGAGGGTGAGTAATGTTACAATTTTCACTTTTGGGTGAACTATCCTTTTAAAATGCTTCATTCTCGGCAGGACGTCACTAATAAAATCACAAAACAGCCAGTGAGTCAGATGTTGATTCAGTAACTTGACAGATTCAGTGAGTTCATTTAGTGAAGGATTCATCATACATACTGATATAAAGCGGTTCATTACAAGTACAGACTCAGAAGAGTTATTTGTTCGTGATTCGAACGGGATTTCCTGAGCTGTATTATTGGTTCACTTAAAAGAATCAGTTCATAAGAGTCGTTTGCTTGTAAATCAGAACACATTTGTTTTCTTGTCATTATTTTTATATATATTGTATACTCATTAATAAAGACTGAAAATTCACATTGAGTCGATCATTTTTTTTTCATTGTGTCACTGTAGATTCATCATGAAAAGAGGTAGTTAGCTTTTGAATTTCCATGCCTTTTTCATTCGTTTGCTATTACTGGATAAATATTTTTAAAGGTCCTTATTCACAATATAAATTAATAAAATATTAATATAAATGTACAACAAATATTTTAGAGCCGTGATTAACAAGACAATGTATTCCATAATATGTTCCCAGTTCTTTTTCAGAACTTCTCCTCCTTGAAACATCCCAAATACATAAAGCCATCACAAATAGTACACATAAATATTACAGTAAATTTATAAGCCGGACAGTAAATGCAGAGGCATTTTTTCTACTTGTAGACCAATAATCACATCAATCAAGGTCAAGGCTTGGATTTCAACCTAAAGACTAGAGTTCTTTCTAAATTTACACATCACTGTCAGAGAATACAACAGGTGTTTGTTTTGCATTGAGCCAAAATGGCTTCAGTAGCCATCAAGCACACAGTGCACTGTACAAAAGTCCAAACCAGCCAACCAATTTATCCTCAATAGGCCTTTGACATCTCTCAAGCCTGCATTGACCATCTGAAAAATACAATAGCAAAGTGTTCTCTAAATTTGAAAGAAACATATAAGAGCACATGTGTTATAGGCTTGTAATGGCCGACAGCAGCAGAAGGCATGTCAGTGGGGCCTTGCGCCCCTCTATTCAGGGGAAATTGAGTGAATGGGCCTGCAAAACCAACAGACATGCAGAACAATAGAGCCAAAAGACATTATTTCATGGGCGAGTGGGCCTCTTTAGAGAGAGCAGCTGACCCGTGGAGAGCTGTGTTGTTCAGGGAGGGTGTGGGTCCACGGACCCCAAGGGCAGAGATTGCACCACCCCCCCGGCCCAGTGACAGCGGATAGCCATCAACTCAAGAGACCTCAACTTCCATTACCGCTGTAAACACCTGGCCTTCAGAAGAGAACAGGACCCTTTGAGGTCTTTTGCAGTGTGACATGAATGAGAAGGTGATTATTAGGTGAAAAATTAGGTGCTGGGAAGGATGGAAGTGCTGTCAATCAAAAAGTTAAATACTGTTTGAATCAGTTTCAGAGAATAAGCCACGACCTATAAAGAAAAATACACAAATGGCACATTTTGAAGCACATATTTTTTATTTTTAGGTATGTGAATGACAACATGGCTATTGGCGAGTTGGCTGTAATATCAAAGAAGCAGGTTATAATTGTTCAGCGGAAAATAATGTCAAATACGCAACATTGCATGAGAAATGAGTGTCAGTTGAAGTGTGTTGCTTGTTTTCATGCATGTCAGATTGCTACATATTCTTGCTTCCCTCAAGTCTACAAACCAACAAACATTTTGACAGTAAAATGAAGACAAGTGAAGACATATTAAACAGGGACACGCGTAGTGTTTCTTTGAATACAGATGGTCAGTTTTTGCATTCCAATATCGGGTTAGCAAAAATAAACTTTTTCAAAACATTTTCCTCAATTTGAATAAGACAAATGTGTTATTTGTAACCCAAAATGTAACTCTAATACTGCCAAATCCTTCAACATAAGGGTTTTTCTTTTGCCCAGACTAACTTATCATTGTGAATAACCTGAAACTATTTTACATGGGTTCTTCTCAGTGTAAAATAATAAAGCAAGACATTTCATTCAACATTTCACTTCATATGAGAGCAAAGCAATTGTCCTACACTTCCTTCAGCCAATTGTGCTTATGTCCATTCCGTAACTCTCAGTAGCAGCGAGCAAAACCTTACAAACGTTTTTCCAGAGCGAGAAAGTAGAAGAGAGAAACTGTTTACACCATTTTTCCCTTCAGATGACGTCCTGACATGTCAGTGTTAATGATGTTTAAATACATTCAGCCACCAATAAAAATCCCCACATACAACAAAATGTAAACACTACAGAGGGCATAAAACAATAGATATTAATGACAAACCAACATTTATATAATATTTAAAAAAAAAAGTGCAATTTCCCCACATTTTGGAGGCTGAATGCTGCTTGCTGCTACTTTCACGGTCAACCAATTGGTGTAAAGAGGACGGAACCTTTGAAAGGATCTTAAACTTACTGTACAGGCCAAGAAATTAGTGGCAGTGTTATTGAAATCAGAAATATGTAATGGAAGGTAGTCAAATATTTAACAGAAAAGATATATAATTAATTATTTTCTTTATATCTTTGAAATAAATAAATTAGTAAAGATTTAATAAATAGAACCTACAGCTCTAAACGAACAAATCTCACCTACGTATCTGTTCTTGGAACGTGTTATTTATAATGCAACATGTGCATTAATATCGGTACCAAACATGATTTTGGCTAAACTGAGAACATTTTCATAAGCAGCGAAGATGCTGGATTTATACTTCAGTTGCAAACATGCAAGTCAACAATTTTATGCCTTTCCAAGTACAATTCATTTAAACAACCTTCACTTTGGAGCAAAAAAAAAAAGGAACACAAAAATAAATTGATCGAGGTACCTTCCAGTAGACGTTAACTTAGCAGATTCATGCTATACAATACATTCAGTGAGTGTCCTACTCGTAAAAAAAATTTTTTTTAAATAAAATAAAGTAATCTGGGTGGAACCTTCGTTACGTTTGGAGCGGAAACGATTACGTTGCAAGTGCTATCCAGTTACTCCTCAACACGGTCTCTGCTCCTCACCCTAACAAACAACCACAGTAGTGCAACACTGCCAGTGCTCTCCTATCCTTAACACCAGTCTCTAAAATCCTCTAAAAAGAGCTTAAAAACGATCTGAAAATGTCAATTATATGATTTATTCCTTCTTAAAAAAGTTAATTGAAAGCAGCCCTTAAAATCAGCACACTAAAAATGGATAAAAATAACTGTTAAAATACTGTTAGATAAATTCTGCAAATCTAGTGCTATTTGTATTTTGACTACATATGACTACATTTCAATACATTTTTTTTTTCTTAAGCGGTACATTGTTATATCAATAGGTGTTTAGCAAACATCATAGCGAGTGTTTTCTGTTTCCTACACCAGATTGTCTGAGAGGTTAAATGTCGGTGTGATAGAGGAAAAGAGGAGGGTTGCTGTAGTGCAGTAATGATGTTCAAAGGACGAGAGCTCTGGAAATGCAGGTGGTGGGGTTGGTGTTTAAGTAACGCCTGGCCTGCTCGGTCATGATCAGCTGATCCTTCGTTTTCCCAAAAACCACCGCCTCCCACTCGCTGTTGACCTGTTGGTTATGTAAATAGGTATTTGAGCTTGACCAGGTGTTGTTATTGTTAACTAAAACAACTATAATTATTTATTATTATACATACATTATACCGGTAGTTGCTTTATTATTATTATTATTATTAGCAAACTGAAATTAAGCTAGGGAAAAATATATATATATAGATATATATATATATATATAAATATATATATAAATAAAAGAAAAAATATAAAATGAAAAACAAATAATTAAAAAAAAGTTTCTTAAAAATGCAAAATTTAATTACATTTTATTTTGGGTTAATGAAAGTCAATTATGTGTTGGCTATATTGGATATAAATAGATTAATGTCTTATCAGATTCTTTCCTGAGTGAATTACCAGAGCGGGTGTTTGGTAAGGTGGGCTCCTTTGGGTCATGTTTCCTCTCTCGTCCTGTGGGCTGAGGGAGCGAACTATGGAAAATGATTCCTTCAGTGATGCAGGAGAGCAAGAGTTCTCCTCTTTCTCTGTCAATGGCATCATGAGCATGGATCTGGTCAGTAGGTCGTCACTGCAAGACTAAAAGAGAGGCGAAGAGGGAAAACAAAAGCATTGCAAACTCAAAAAGGAAAAAAACACTAATGAAGCATCATTAGTTTGTAAAGTAGGATAACGGCCTTACCGCTCCATTGTTGTTAATCTGCTGTTGTGGAAACAGTTGTACATTTAAACAGCCTTTTTCCCAGCTGTCCAGTACCAAAGACTTTCTGACTTTCCTTGCTGGAGCTTCCATCTGCTGTGAACCCCAAATTACACAGTTTAAAAATAAAAACTAGTGTTCAATTTAAGAGTTAACATTAGGTAAAAGCTGTTGAACATTTAAGCTAAACCCATTTGCATGACTGTGAGAACAAATATGTAAGAAAGTGGCCAGTACCTCATAAGATCTGTACTGAGGTTGGTTCTGCATTTGTGTGAAGATGTCAGCCCCAGTTTCCTCTTTCAGAACCTCTCTGATGTCCTCCTCAAGAAGTGCCAGTGGTTGGGGCTGAACACACAAACGTAACATATCAAAAGGCAAATTAACGAGCAAAGCACCGGATAAACGTATGAATAGCCTTTATAGGTGAAACTTATGTAACCTATCAAGTTAATATTTAACTTAAAAATTAAAAGAAATGGAAAAATGAAGCCTGTTTTTGGGACTGTTAAAATATATATTTATATACAATTTTTTTGACAAATATATATAAATAGCTGTAGGCTTCTTAATAATGACACAGCCTCAAAAGTGTTTTCATTCGGACTTACCACCATTCTTAACGGGCCATGCATCTTCTCCTGGGCGGCCAAGGCGTTTTTGAAAGGAGTGGGTGTTCTTGGAGTGTGGACTGTGATGTTCTTATGGAGTTTTGGGGTCCTGAATCTGTGAAGACAATAGTATCAGTCATTTCTTGATTCTGAGATTGTCAGCTCGATATTCTCAAACAGCAGAGGTGAAGAATAATGGCTGACCCTGCATTCTCCTTCTGGTGTTTTGGTGTGGTCTCTCTATGATGGGGTGTGTTGAGGAGGCATTTCTGTCCACACACTGGAGTGGATGTAAAAGCAGGATTGTCGAGGCTCAAGGGCTCACCACCAGACACATTGAAGAACTAAATGGGTGAAAAAAAAAAAAAAGTTTTGACTGAATTCAAACATTTCTGTGGCCTAAAAGGTGTTTTGTGTTATAAATCTAGCCATACCTGAGAGGGTGAGAATGGCAGGCCTTTGACAGGGGTGTTTTTTGGTGAGTTCCCACTGTTGTCTATGTATGCACAGCTCCTTTCATCTGCAGGTGACTGATCTCCTCTCTCTCTCCTCTTCTTTGTCATGATGGACGGTGGTGGAGAGCTGAATCTGTTCATGCAGGTGTTAGAAGGAGCCACAGACTTGCCCTGGTTCACCGCACCACACTGCCTGCTCATCGCGGGGAGAGTGGGAGCATTTATTGGATAGGCCAGGCTTTCTGTGCACCTCTCCAGGGTCCTACAATCATCAGTGGGGTTAGTGGACTTTGGAAAGGGGCCTCCCTCAGTGAGATCAAAGCTGGTCACATCACTCCAGGCCAAAGGATCCTGAAGCATCAAAACATATGCAAAACATTTACCTTACGTTCATTAGGTGACGAGTAAAACTATGCATCTTTGATGTAATTTTACTAAATTGAACTAAATAACTACATTTATGATGATGAGTAAATTATATGTAAGCAGTATTGAAATAAGTATACTTTACAGTATTTAATCAAAAATACGGTAAAAAGGCAAAAATAGAAAATATGAAATCGATTACATCTATTATAAATTCATACCTAACCTAAAATACATACCACCTTTTTTAAGTTGAACATACTTTAAGGGTGTGACACTTTGGAAAAAAGACCAAATGCAGTTTCAAAAACAATGAATTTATCTATATATATATAATATATATATATTTTTTAGGGATGCAAATTATAGGTATAGAACTATATCAGATATCGGACAACATGCTGTTAAAATTTACTTGTGGCCTTTAAAATAATTGATTTTAGTTTTTGATGTTTTATTTTAATATCGTCCAGAACTAACCTAAATTAAACAAAAATTTTGATAACAATATTAATGCAATATTAATATTCAACTTGTATAAATAACAGAAATATTATAACATATTTTCATAAATAATACAAATATGCTATAATATATACATATTATACTAGATTTTTGTAATTCTCTGCTTACAGAGTCAATAAGCTCCATGGTCTCTGCAAACTCTGGGATGGTCTCTAGTGTGGACAGCACAGCACTGGCCTCAGCAGCCAGGAACTTGCTGGGAGAGACAGGAAGAGGCATCGTAGCAGGCTGGCCCTCCTCTAAACGACACAGCTCGACCCCTCTGCCCTCCACACTCTCTGTGGTGGTGGTATCATCGGGCAGGCTGTCCGTCCAGCTGGAGTAGCTCTCTGGATTCTGTATAGAACCAAACATTCATGTCAGTGAGGAGAGAGAGATTTTGATTAAAAAAAATCTAATCAATAAGATAAAACTGCAGTGATCTGACATCTGAGCCAATAAACCTACACTACTTAACTTATAATATGTGAATTTCATATTACTTTGTGACCATATGCTAAATTCTCTTGTAAACATTTATGATATTAACTGAACAAAGAATAAAAGCGATCTATTCTCTATGGTAATGATACACTGCATTCTTACTGACAATGGACAAGGAAACGGTGAATAATTTAAAGCCATTCATTTTCACCTAACCTACTAAATGTATTTAGAACAAACAGAATGAACAAAGAAAAATATATTTATGAAATGCTAATATTTAATCATACAATACATGCCAACTTATTAAGTTAATAATATTATTTATAATAAAATATCTTATAATATGCAGGGAAAATATGTATAGTGAATATAATTTTGAGATAATATGATGAATATATTACAAATAATAAATAAGTGCAAAAAAAAACATGCTTTCATGCCTCAAAGCTGTCACTTGCTGTAGTTTTAGCCAATAAAACCACAAAGGAGGGTGTGAGGCAGGGAGGCAGTGAAGGCGGGTAGGATTTACTAAGCAGCACAGCTAGAAATGAGGGTATGGGGGAGTAAGATGGGGAATGAGGGAAGGCGATGGGACCTATAGAGCACTATTCTACGCGCACACACAGTGTTTCTTACACGAGGGCCCGACTGTCTTCTGACTTCACTCTCAGCTGACATTAGCAACAGCTCTAGCTCCTTAATTCTTTTCTCTTTGTCTGGGTCGTCATGGCAAGGCTGTGAGGAAGAAGAACCAGGGGGAAGAGGCGGAAAGAGAGACCGAGACACAAACTTTACTGACAATTTCACGAGACTTTTATAAGGTCCTGAATTTCACCAAGCAATACCACTCAGGATTCAGATGCCTTTAAGGTCTTTGATATTACCTTACATTAATGCCAATATGTTCCAAAAGCTATTTTACAATCCATACAAAGTCGTAAAACTGCATTGGTGAAATTCACATAAGGAGCAGTTTAACACCACACCACACACATGCAGATTAAACAATTATACACAAACATATGAGATTTATTTTTTTTTATTAATAAAGAAGACAAACAGACTTCAGAAAGCAGAAAGTTCAGAGATATAGAGAAGACTGAAGCATGCTGTGAGAACTGCACCATGGGACTTACCGACATAAAGCTAGAGATCTCGACACTAATGTTTTCCATACACTGGCCACTTTGTGAACCATACGGATATCTGGGTGGCTGCCAATCAAAAACAATATAAAAGCTTGTATGTTAAATACTTCACATCTGATATTTATTAAATTAAGCATAAATAGAGCTTCAGTTGAAAATTATTGTTAATGGATGATATTAAAATTCTATATTTTGTCTAAATAAATTCAAAATAAAATACCAAAAACTAAAATCAATTATTTTAAATGCTAAATGCATGTTGTGATGCCTAAATTCACTTGTAGCATTCAAAATAATTGATTTTAGTTTTTGGTATTTTATTTTGAATTTATATAATTAATTAATAAGAGTTTTTAAACATTAACCTTAAATGAACTTAAGATGATAGCAAAGTAATCTAAATGTAAAAATAAGGGAAACTAGCATGCATAATTAATATTGACCGATAGCAATATATATACATATATACAAACCCGATTCCAAAAAAGTTGGGACACTGTACAAATTGTGAATAAAAACAGAATGCAATGATGTGGAAGTTTCAAATTTCAATATTTTATTCAGAATACAACATAGATGACATATCAAATGTTTAAACTGAGAAAATGTATCATTTTAAGGGAAAAATAAGTTGATTTTAAATTTCATGGCATCAACACATCTCAAAAAAGTTGGGACAAGGCCATGTTTACCACTGTGTGGCATCCCCTCTTCTTTTTATAACAGTCTGCAAACGTCTGGGGACTGAGGAGACAAGTTGCTCAAGTTTAGGAATAGGAATGTTGTCCCATTCTTGTCTAATACAGGCTTCTAGTTGCTCAACTGTCTTAGGTCTTCTTTGTCGCATCTTCCTCTTTATGATGCGCCAAATGTTTTCTATGGGTGAAAGATCTGGACTGCAGGCTGGCCATTTCAGTACCCGGATCCTTCTTCTACGCAGCCATGATGTTGTAATTGATGCAGTATGTGGTCTGGCATTGTCATGTTGGAAAATGCAAGGTCTTCCCTATATAACTCTAATCCCCAAATATAAACTATAATCTATAAAATTACTGGTAATAGATTTTAAGTAAATGAATGTATGTATGAAAAAATAAGTATGACACATATAATACTGATGCAAACACAGCATCACTGTGAGTGTTATCACCTGTGATTGGCCACTCATGATCATTTGATTCTGGTCATGTTGATATTCCACAGCTGGACTGGATTTGGGTCGTTTCTTCTGGTCAGGGTCACTGCTGTAGCTCTTGCTGCTCTCCTGCAAATAACCCTCATGTTCCACCTTCCTGCGCATGGTGGAGTTCCAATGATTCTTAATGGAGTTGTCTGTCCTATAAGAGTCCGGTCAGGTAAAGGTCATTCTTTGACCTACACAGACATTCTGGTATTCTTCTATATTCTGCATAGGTTTTTTAGTTAAAATAGAGCTTTTTACCGTCCAGGAAGCAGTTTTGAGATCTCAGCCCACCGGTTGCCCAGACGTTTATGAGCTTCATAGATAATATGATCCTCTTCCTGGGTCCAGGAGGATTTCTTCACTTCTGGGTTGAGGTGATTGTGCCAGCGCTCTCGGCACTGTTTGCCTATGCGGCCCTGTAAGTGCTTGGCAATCACTGACCACCGTTTGGGCCCATACTTGTGAACCAGCTCAATCACCTGTTGAGATGTAAAACAGATGATCAGAACACAAGTGACACTAAAGACTGGAGTAATGGATGCCAAATGCGGTCTTGGTGAGCATAAGAGGTTTCTTTCAAAAACATTAAAAAAAAAGTCTTACTCACCCCAAACTTTTGAACGGTAGTGTATGTACAACCTCTAGATTATTAACATTATAAGCTGAATAGGGCAGAAAGTGACTTTTCATGTTTATAAGAGTGTCAGTTCTTCTGGAATGGTGTCATGCAACTTCTAAAAAGTGTGTTGTAGGATACTGCAACAAAAGCTTTCATTTCTTTTGCTGGTAGAGGAGGAGGACAATGAATTTTGCACTCTAAAAATCCGTCATCTTTTGCCATTTATTCATCCATCTCTGTCTTCCTCTGAGGACACAGAACACCCGGCTCGTCTTACCCTCTGATCCTCCTCTTTTGTCCAGGGTCCTTTCACCAGCTCCGGGTTGAGCACCTTTTGCCAACGGTGCTGACATTGACCATCTGTCCTAGTCTGTCAAAGTGCAACAAAATCCCACATCAACACCTGCAGCTAATACACCTACACCTATAATAACATCTTTACTAACACACAGGCCTGTCACGAACTATACAACATACATTTAACAATAGTTCCACTGAAATTCTATCTAGTATTTCCACTGCAACAGTATTTTTCAGTCTAAAGATATTTATAAAGAACTTGATATGTGGCTTTTTGGATGTTTTTATAGTAAAATAGTATAGTATGGTACAGTATAGTAACATTTAATTTCATTTTAAATCCTTTAAATTATACTTCTGAAAATTGGCTGCTTCAGAAAGATTAATATGTATGTGAAATAATAAAAAAAGCACTTCATAGCTCCACTAGAATATTCCAGACACATTTTAAAAATGCTTTCAAAGTAATGATTAAGCATCTGATACAGCAAGTTACTTACTGGGAAATAATTGGCGATTAATTTCCAAGCATCAGTTCCGTGTTGCTCAACAAGCTTCTTTAGCTTCTCATCCTGTACATGAAACAGATATCATGAGGTTTTCCATCTCAGACACAACTAACATGCTGTAACAGCAAAACTAACAGCACTTTTGTAATTCCCCACCCCTTCCTGTTTCATCATAGAAACCTAAGTAGTTTCCAAGTATTATCCCATTTGAAACTTAAAATATCATAGACTGCCATTCAAAAAGTTGTAGTCAGTACGATTTTTAAAAAGTTTCTGAAAGAAGTCCCTTATGCTCAACCAAGACTGCATTTATTTGATAAAAATACAGAAATATTTTTGTGGAAACCATGATACATTTATATTCAGGATTCTTTGATGAAAGGAAAGTTCAAAAGAACGGCATTTATATGAACTAGAAATATTTTGTAACAAAATAAATGTCTTTACTGTCACTTCTAAGCAATTGAATGCATCCTTGGTGAATAGAAGTACTAATTTCTAAGAAAAATAAATGTACAGACCCCAAACTTTTGAATGCTATTGTATGTAGAAGAATTAAAATTAGCATAGAAATGCATGCATAAAGTACCTCATCCCGGGACCATTTAATTTTGCACAGGGTCTTTTTGGAATTCTTGGAGTCTCTACTGTCAGGGTCCGTAGAATGACGTTCATCATCCTCATCTTCACTGCAGCCATATAACACAAACAGATATTACAGAAAAGGAAGAGTCAAACACAGAGTTTTCTACTTTGTCTAATTGGACAAACATTATCTCACAGAAGCCATTACTCTCAAACTGTCTGCCTGACACAAACCGTTAAGCAGACAAGCATGATCACTCATCTGTAGATACGAGATGCAAATAGTTTAGAAAAGCAGCCTGCTCATTAAACAGGACATGCCTGGGTGTAATTACTCTGCAAGTTGGCAATGCAAGCTATAAAAGTGAATTCAAGCATATTCAAATTATTCCAGTGCATTACATTTACATTTACATTTAGTCATTTAGCAGACGCTTTTATCCAAAGCGACTTACAATTGGGGGATACATAAAGCGATTCTTCTTAAAGAGGCAAACAGACACAGGAAGTGGTTGTAATACCAAGTTCTTAGACATTGTTCAAATATGTTAGCATTAGTTTGCATTTTAATTTTTTATGTTTATTTGAAAATTATTTTTTCCATTATCCAAACCTTTACAAAAAGCACATTCAAGTCATGTTCACACAAGTAAATCAAAGTGACAATTGCTTTGCCCAAGACTTCAGTCTATAGGAATGCCTTGTTGCCTAGTAACATTTCACCAACGCAGTGAGGTAGACAGTTTTTTGGGTAGTTAAGTCTCCCTGGCATACCAGAGCACAAACTTAATGGAAAACCATTTATCCGATGCTAATAGTGACTATCAACATAAACCAACCTCAAGCCTTATTTGCTCCAGAGCTGAAAGATTTTCTAAAAGAGCAAGGAAGGAACAAGAAAGTCTAATCATTAAAAAAATATGCAACAGCACATTCTACCAGAATGCCTTGCTGTAAACTAAAGTCTAAAGCTGTGAGGAAAAAATGCGTTTAGGTGTATTTTTAGGCCAAAGTCCAACTTTGACTAGAGCGGTACAAATATGGAAGTCCAAAATCCTTCTTGCTGCCAGTCTGCATAATTAGCATTGAAACATTGGCTCTCAGTATTACAAGCCACCCGATGAAAGAAGTGTTTCATTGAAGAAACATGCTTTAGTATGATCTCCACCCTCGAGGAAGGGGTGAGGTGATGAACAAGCCTGTTTTGCTTCAGAGGGGATTTGCTTGCATCACTCAGTCAGGAGGCAGCCCAAAGTAATGCCTGGCCACTGGAAGCGCGCAAACAGGATCTGGACACAATTCTAGTCTGTCAGATTAAGGCCTGCAGCTGGTCTAGTTTTTTTTAATTACATTCAGATATCTTCCATCAATATGTGAAACATAAATTTACAAATTGACCAACCCCCGATTTAATAGCAACAAAGAGAGGACAAGGGAGGTTCACACACGCATGCACATGTCGGGTTTCCATGTTTTATGGAGTCTTTCCATAGACATAATGACTTTTATACAGTACAAACTGCATACTATATCCCCTAACACTAAGCCTACCCCTAAACATGAGCCTTACAGAAACCTCTGCATTTTTACATTAAAAAAATAAATACAATAAAATAATAAAAAATACCAGGGCCACACACACATTAAAATCTCCATTCATCCATAAATAACATAATGCTTTTTTTTTAGGTACAACAACCAAGCTGCATGTCACCTTCCTTTATAAACATCATTGTTTGGAAAATCGGACTGGCACAGTTTTATAAACCAAACTAGATATGAATAAGTGCTTGTGTGTCAAACATTGCACACAAGATATACTCAGTCCTTTAGCTACAACTCTAATACACAAATTAATATATAGTCAAATGCTTCTTGTTTACCTCTAAATACCTTGTTTACCCCTAAATTTTATAAGTTATATATTAACTTCTAGTGACTATATTTTTTCCTCCTTAATCCCTCCAAATCAAGCTGAATTATAGGCTTTATACATTTTCAGAAATGTATTTGAGTGTAAAAGTATAACAAACACGTACATTTATACAAAGAGTAAGATACAAGTAATTAAATATTCACGATCTGCTTAACCTATTTTATACCTAAATGTTGATGGTCTAATAATGTAGTTATTATGTAATGACCTATTATAAAGGCAGCAGGACACAACTGGTTCATCTAATACCATAATCCACTTGCACTTGCACCTTCCCTTATTTCTGTTTTGTGATCACTCTTACTTGTAGATGAATTTAAAACTTTTTTTATTCACTGATGACTAGTTTCGTTTAATTTTCGTACCAAGTTTACGAAATAGCCGGTTAGCATGCTAGTTCACTCCAGCTGTACTGTTCAATAGGGGACAGCTAGGCTAACCGCTAGCATTCAGGCTAACACAATAATCTACTAAGAAACGGTTTGACAAATGACATTTGGCATGAGGAAACATGATTGTAGATATAGCAATAAAAATGATTTTTTTTAACGCTTTAGTCAGTCTTTGGATCATGATCAACTTGTGTGTCAGCAGGTGCAACATGATACGTCACAGGGATCGGACTGTCATAGCATACCAAATATCAACATTTATTAACGTTTTAGGTGATATTGTGCAATTAAATTCTTAATTACTCTTGCTTTGAGCTTTACTGTTGCCATAGCAATTTCTGTTGTGACGCAAAGAACTCATCTTGAAAACTCCAGATATAACGTTAAACAATCTATACGATCTCCCGATGTTTTGTAAGTTGGACATCAACATAAGATCTGTACATTTGCACACAATCCATAAGATAGCAAATATCATTCTTATTTATATGATTTTGATTAAGTTTACAAGGCACCGTATAAGATCCATCATCTCACCTGCGAGACTTCATATTGGCCATGACAACTGTTCAAGTCCAGTTCTTTTCAAAGGGAAAAGTCTTTAAAACATCCAATGTTGCTGCAATTCTTCTTGAAATCAAAACACACAGCTGATATTTATCCACACATGCTACTGTCACACATGTGTCTATTTTCTGAAAAGCTTCAGATCCGTACAGTCACATCCCCGAGAGCGATTATGCAATAAATATTACAACGTAAAACGTCCTTCCAAAATGCTTGTTATTAAATAATAAAAGTCAAAAAAGAATACTTCCAATGCGATCTCAAAATGGTACAGGAAAAAAGTCCATCAATATAACTCTGTGTTAGTCTTGCCCGCCTTGAACCCGCGCACACCCCTCTGTACTGTCACTCTGAACTGTGTTCTCAGCGCGTGTGTTTTTTCCTCTCATTCTGTTTCATTTTTTGTCCATCCCGCCGAATCTCGCGCCCAGCCTCCTTCCGGAAACGGGTTTGAATCTGCGCACGCGGCCTCGCCGCTGATTGGTGGAAAGAGGTAGGCGGAGCAGCGCGCTCTTGTTGAACAGCAACTGCTGACGCCCTTTTTATTAGCATGCAGCTAGTTGTAGTATGAAATTATACTTGTGTTTACTGCTAAAACTTTTTATGTTTAAATAAATCATCTAAAGGTATTTTGTAGTGAAGAATACGCTTTATTGGCAGGTTTTGAATATAATTTACAGCACTGCGACGTAAAAATGTTCTTATTGAACATTTTACAGAGCTTTCTAATTATGTTAGTCCTTGCTGCCCTCTTGCGGATATTTTGTGATTTTATTTTGTCTTTGGAAATTTAAAGATGAATATACAGTATCTGCTTTGTTTGACATAAAATTTATTAATTTGTTAAAAACAAACAGACAGATTACTTACAGTTTAACAAACGTTTGCCTTGCCGTGTTACATATTTCCTACAAGCCTTTCTATTTTAATGATGAATTGCACTTTCAACATACTACATACTCCCAATAATATAATATAATATTTAGTGTGTGTGTGTGTGTATAGTAATTAACATATTTAATATAGTATATTAGTATAATGTCCTACATACTTTTCTATTTTAGTCATGAGGAATTGCACTTTCAACATATCTCAATAATATAATATAATAATATTTAGTGTGTGTGTGTGCGTGTGTGTGTGCATATATTCTTTTCTATTTTAGTCATGAGGAATTGCACTTTAAACATATCTCAATAATATAATATAATAATATTTAGTGTGTGTGTGTGCGTGTGTGTGTGCATATATTCTTTTCTATTTTAGTCATGAGGAATTGCACTTTAAACATATCTCAATAATATAATATAATAATATTTAGTGTGTGTGTGTGCTCCACAGAACAAAGTAAGTTTTATTGGTTTGGAATGACATGAAGGTGAGTTATGTATATAGTAATTAACATATTTAATATAGTATATTAGTATAATATCCTACATGCTTTTTTATTTTTTATTTTATTCATGAGGAATTGCACTTTCAACATATTACATACTATAATATAATATAATATAATATAATATAATATAATATAATATAATATAATTTAGTGTGTGTGTGTGTGCATATATTCTTTTCTATTTTAGTCATGAGGAATAGCACTCCATCATATTATATAAAAGTTTAGAATGTAATATTATATATAGTTGTCACAACAGAACTTAAAACAGTAAAACAAATATAAATAAATATAAATAATATAATATAAAATGTGACTGACAGTATGCGTGGCAGTTCTGCCGCTAGATGGTGCTGTTGTTCATGTTCCTTTACAACATTATTATTCTTCGTCCCTCGCGTTTAGTCGCGTGACTGATTGTTTCGGAACTTCGGAACAAACGTCAATGTGTCTTTATTTGACGGGCGGCTCATTGGTAACATGATGTATGTTGTCTCTTCTGTTAAGCTGGGTCGATATTTAGTTTCCCAGACACGCCGAGTTTGATTTTTGAATCGTTGCACTTCCTTTGCTTCCCCGACACGTCACTGGAGCCAGTTGGATGGAAAGAGTGAGAAAATAATAAGGCAAGTTATGTCTTTACTCTCTTTGAGCAATCTGTAGCACGCGAGTGATTCTAGAAGTACGTCGGTGGTTGTAGTAAGTTCTGGCTGTAACAGGTCCATTCTCTGCAATAGTACACAATGTACATTACGTAATAAAATTATTTATTTATTTATTTAAAACAGGCAAGCCCAATGCCAGAAATACAGGGCTCTACAAAAAAAAGGAACAAATGTCAGCCACGGTCAAAAGGAATTTGTTTTGAAGCTTTGGTTGGTTTCAGTTTACAGTACTGTTTCTTACCTTCGGAAAATATGTACAAGAAAATCCCTATTTACACAATATGGCCATCAGGATTCAGAAAATTCATTTTTTTCAGCCATTTATGTCATTTGAGTGTGTTGTGCAACAGCAGTGCTAATATTTTTTTTTAGATAAATGTAAAAATAATTTGATGTAATAATTTGAGACCAGTAATCAGTTTGATTATCACTGTTTTACTTAATTAGTTATTGGTTCTTCAATATTGCCTGCTAATATTAAGCACCCAATATATATAATAGTCACATTATTTAGTTCTTTTGTTAAATATAAAAATTGATGCTATAAATAAAAACAATTCTGCATTATTGGACACTTAAAATAATATGTATTGGTAAAAAATTTTGTTTTATATGTAATTATGTAATATTATTATATTAAATTGAATTTGCATATATGTTATTACACCATTTAAAAAAAAATCAGTTTTAAGTGAGAAATGTCATGGGATAGTTGCTTATTGGGAAATGAAACTATGAATCTTACGTGGGCTAGTCTGTGTCATTTAGTATCCATGAGCATAGCCTACGCAATGTTAACAGTTGAAAAAAATGATATGACCAACAAGTGAAATATTCACCAAGCCTTCCGTTAGAATTATTTATTGGAAGTTAAACTGTAATAAGTTTTATTACAGAAACAGTTGTTTCTTTGACACACATTTTACTTATGGGTTCTAATGCACTGTTGTTTTAGATTGATCTTTTTTAATAGTGTAGGATTACTCTTAATGTGAGTAAAACCAGAGAGTCTCAAAGACAAACCTGTACTGATGCATTTTTGCTCAGCATAACTCTAGATTTTAATGTGTGACGTGCCCGTGCAAGTTTATACCTGTTCCTTTGTACTTTCTTTTTGCTGTTCAAACCTGTTTGACTGAGTTGTTATAGGATGAGTTCATATTTAATAACAGTAACATTTTGACAGCTCCAATGTAGTGATGACATGAACTAAGTGGCTATAGTTTCTTGAAATTGCATAATAATGAGCCTGAATCTGTTGTATCCTTTGTCCTTATTTTATTATGTTAATTTGAAATATGCCCTTTAGAGTGATCTTTCATTTCTCATGCAATGCATAAAGAACCCAGCCTCTGGTTTCAGTTTTAAAGTGAAGTGACTCTGTTACTTGGCTCAGACACTGGAACAGACATGTAAATGAATGCATGCTATGCTTCCTGGTGATTGTTTTTAGTTGAACAATGAGACATGAGACATCTTGTCTGCAAGTAAATCATTAGGGCTGGCCAGAACAGTGAATTTATTTGCATATTTAAACCAATACCTACGTATGCATGCACACACATGCACATTTAAATACGCATATGTGGTTTTCAGAAGTAGTCCATTAAATCATTAAACTATCCAAGTCTTTGAATAGTTGACCACGTAGGCAAATAAACCTGTGACATTCCTCCAAGTTCGCAGGAATGTAGAAAAATATAGATCGCAGTGATATGGTGAACTGTGTCTGCAACTGCTACAGTCTGTTATTTCATCTGCACACATTTAGTTTGTATTTCATGTCATGCAATACATTAAAGAGTAACACCGGTGGGTTTATAATAATGTCACTGCTTGTTTAAAACAAAATAGTATTATATTATGTATAAAGACGTCCATTATTCTATAAAATTGTCTGTTTTTATTTCTATATTGTTTTGGTGCTCACTATTTTGTTAGGTTGGTGCATTTAAAGTAGCCACTTTAAATCCAGCATTTCTTTACATTCCAAATTATTATTGTATATATATATATATATATTTGTGTGTGTGTGTGTGTGTATATGTATATTAGGGCTGCACGATAAATCGCATGCGATATTTAATGCGCATCTTGTCAGAAAGCCGGTTCTGTAA